ATAAGTTGTGAGGTAAAAGTTGCTGAAAGATGGCTACCAGGCGACAGAGAAAGCTGGCTGAGGAAAGAGAGGTAGACCAAGAGGAAAGTTCGAGCTCTGAGACAGAGACCGAGCCGATGCCTTTCTCAGAAATGGCTTGTAAGTATAAACTAGAGATGAAACGATTGGAGATGGAGGAAAAACAGAGAGAGTTTGAAGAAAGACAGAGAGTGAGAGAATTGGAACAGGAGTTAGAATGGAAGAGAATGGAGTTTGAGCTAGAGAAACAAAGATTGGCTTTGTCTCAAACATCCAGGGATATCCAGGAAGGGAGATCTGGAGGAGATACCCCAGATTTGAAGAAAAATTCCCAAAATTTACCAAAGACGATGGCCCAGAGAAATTCCTAATATCTTTTGAGAGATGTTGTCGAGATTTTGGGGTGGCTAAGGAAAAATGGATGACATACCTAAGGCCTCAGATAAGTGGGAAACTTTTGCAGATTTATGGACAGATGTCTGAGGATTCATATGGAGACTATGATCTGTTTAAGAAACAGATTCAACAAGAATTTAGATTGACTCCTGAATATTATAGATTTAAGTTCAGGACATTAAAGAAAGATAAAACTCAAAGTTTTGGTCAGGTGGCCTCAAGATTGTCTCAACTGTTCGATAGTTGGATAAGGACATCTGAGGTGGAAGATTATCAACAGCTGAGGGAACTTTTGAAGCTGGAGCAGTTTTTCCAACTAGTGCCTTATGATATTCGTTGGGTGATTCAGGATCGCAAGCCATCCACAATTGTAGAGGCAGCGGGTATGGCAGATCAAATAACAACCTTAAAAGAAGGATTTAAGAGAAAAGATCTGCCAGGTGACAAAAGAACAAGAATGTCAGTTTTCACCTATTTGATCATTCCCCATTGGTTTACATTGAAATCGCAAGCCGTCTCAAAAAGACTCAAGTTACTGCAAGAATGTAAGTTTTCACCTATTTGATCATTCCCCATTGGTTTACATTGAAATCGCAAACCGTCTCAAAAAGACTCACGTAACTGCAAGAATGTCAGTTTTCACCTATTTGTTCATTCCCCATTGGTTTACACTGAAATCGCAAACCGTCTCAAAAAGACTCACGTAACTGCAAGAATGTCAGTTTTCACCTATTTGATCATTCCCTTTGGTTTACATTGAAATCGCAAAGCGTCTCAAAAAGACTCAAGTTACTGCAAGAATGTCAGTTTTCACCTATTTGATCATTCCCCATTGGTTTACATTGAAATCGCAAGCCGTCTCAAAAAGACTCAAGTTACTGCAAGAATGTAAGTTTTCACCTATTTGATCATTCCCCATTGGTTTACATTGAAATCACAAACGGTCTCAAAAAGACAAGTTACTGCAAGAATGTCAGTTTTCACCTATTTGATCATTCCCCATTGGTTTACATTGAAATCGCAAACCGTCTCAAAAAGACTCAAGTTACTGCAAGACAGTTTTCACCTATTTGATCATTCCCCATTGGTTTACATTGAAATCGCAAGCCGTCTCAAAAAGACTCAAATTACTGCAAGAATGCCAGTTTTCACCTATTTGATCATTCCCCATTCGTTTACATTGAAATCGCAAACGGTCTCAAAAAGACTCAAATTACTGCAAGAATGTCATTTTTCACCTTTTTGATCGTTCCCCATTGGTTTACATTGAAATCGCAAACCGTCTCAAAAAGACTCGTTACTGCAAGAATGTCAGTTTTCACCTGTTTGATCATTCCCCACTGGTTTACATTGGAATCGCAAACCGTCTCAAAAATACTCACGTAACTGCAAGAATGTCAGTTTTCACCTATTTGATCATTCCCCATTGGTTTACATTGAAATCGCAAGCCGTCTCAAAAAGACTCAAACTGCAAGAATGTCAGTTTTCACCTATTTGATCATTCCCCATTGGGTTACATTGAAATCGCAAACGGTCTCAAAAAGACTCAAGTTACTGCAAGAATGTCAGTTTTCACCTTTTTGATCATTCCCCATTGGTTTACATTGAAATTGCAAACCGTCTCAAAAAGGTTCAAGTTACTGCAAGAAGTCAGTTTTCACCTGTTTGATCATTCCCCATTGGTTTACATTGAAATCGCAAACCGTCTCAAAAACTCAAGTAACTGCAAGAATGTCAGTTTTCACCTATTTGATCATTCCCCGTTGGTTTACATTGAAATCGCAAACCGTCTCAAAAAGGCTCAATTAACTGCAAGAATGTGTTTTCACCTATTTGATCATTCCCCATTGTTTTACATTGAAATTGCAAACGGTCTCAAAAACTCGTTACTTCAAGAATGTCAGTTTTCACCTATTTGATCATTCCCCATTGGTTTACATTGAAATCGCAAACCGTCTCAAAAAGACTCACGTAACTGCAAGAATGTCAGTTTTCACCTATTTGATCATTCCCCATTGGTTTACATTGAAATGGCAAACCGTCTCAAAAAGACTCAAGTTACTGCAAGAAGTCAGTTTTCACCTGTTTGATCATTCCCCATTGGTTTACATTGAAATCGCAAACCGTCTCAAAAAGAGTCAAGTAACTGCAAGAATGTCAGTTTTCACCTATTTGATCATTCCCCATTGGTTTACATTGAAAAGACTCAAGTTACTGTAAGAATGTCAGTTTTCACCTATTTGATCATTCCCCATTGGTTTACATTGAAATCGCAAACGTTCTCAAAAAGACTCAAGTAACTGCAAGAATGTCAGTTTTCAACTATTTCATCATTCCCCATTGTTTTACATTGAAATCGCAAAAGGTCTCAAAGAGGCTTAATTTACTGCAAGAATGTCAGTTTTCACCTATTTGATCATTCCCCATTGGTTTACATTGAAATCGCAAACCG